GGGAGCCGCGAGTGGGGGAACCGGGGAGACCGGGGCCCTCCGCGACCGCTCACCCCGCCCTGGCCCGGCAGCCGCCGCGCAGGCGCATTTAGAGGCGGCAGTGCGCAGGCGCGGAGGGCGGTGAGGTTGGGGGTGGGAGCGCCCCCTAGCGGCGGCGCTATCCACCAGCCCGACCCATCATCTCTCGGGCCGCAGGTTCGAGTCCCGGCGGTGCTCGGTCGGGACGGCGGGGGGTGCGGGTCGCGGCTAATCCCGGCTGTGCCGCTGCGGGGGGGGCCCGGGAGAGGCAGCCATGTCCATCCCCTCCTCCAGCACCACCCTGCGGCCGCCCGCCGGCTTCAAAAACCTGCTGGAGGGGCTGGCACTGGAGGTGTTGCGGGCACAGCCCGCCGATGTGGTGGCCTTTGCCGCTCAGCACTTCCAAACGCTGCTGGAGCAGAGAGAGGGTGAGTGGCCTGGCCCAGCAGCACCCATCCCTGCACCTCCATCCCCTGCCCCATGCTGCATTGCCTGCCTGTCCTGCGTGGCATCACGCCTGCCGTGTGTGCCTGTCACCCAGGGTGTCGCTCCTGCCCCACGTGCCCATCACCCGTGGCATCGTGCCTTCCCCGAGTGCCCATCACCCAGGGTGTCACTCCTGCCCCGTGTGCCCATCACCCGTGGCATTGTGCCTGCCCCATGTGCCCGTCACCCAGGGCACCACACCTGCCCCTTGTGCCCGTCCTTGAGGGACTTTGCACCTTCCCATCGTGCCCATCCCTTGTGCCACCAGCCCTGCCCCATGTGCCCATACTACGTGGCATCAAACCTCCTCCTTCCCCAGACAGCTCAGCTGACCTGGCAGTGTGGGGAGCGTGGCCAGAGGACGAGGTTCTCACACAGCCTCTTTTCCAGGTAGGCTGCCCTCCCCGCCTGCCCTTCTGGTCCCGAATTTGGGGTGTCCAAGGTGAAGGGCTGAGACCCCACACCCACCCTGGTCCTGCTGCCCTTGTCCCACACCACCTAAATTTTAGGTTTTCCTGCTTTTCCTCCAGGAGCCAGGGGAGGACAAGAAGGAGGACAAGGACGAGGAGGAGGAGAAGGCAGGAGAGCAGGCAGGCAACGCTGCATCCACAGACATGGTAAGGGACACAGCGCCCACACCCAAAACAGCATCAGGGTAGTTGACAGCACCCCGCAGCACCAACGTACCATGATTCCTGCCCCAAATCCTCACCATGACGCAGCAGAGAGGAGCAAACTGATGGGTGAAGGGGATCGCATCCCCATAACGCTCTTTAAAAGGGACACCTCCCTGGGGACCCGACCTGAGTGCTCGCCCCACATCCCCCATTTGGCAACATCTGAACCCAAAATGAGGAACAACAACTTGAAAAAAAAAAAAAACCCGAAACCCTCAATTTCCCCACCAGGCTCCTGCCCTTCTCTCGGAGGCAGGCAACTATCTCCCGTCCCACCCTGGCGGCACTTTTTTAATGAGAATTTTTATTAATGAGGTCCCCGCCGTTATTAGCAACTCTCACCTGAGATTTCTCCCCTAAAAAAAACCCGGGTTTAGGAGCTGGGCTGAGCTTGAGATGATATTTTAAGGCTCTATATTTAGGCCCCTGCATCCCTGGAGGTTGTCAAAAATTTAATAGCGTCCCCGTGTGAAGAAGGGATGTGACATTGCTCCTTTTCTCCCCCCCCCAGAGCTGAGATGCCTCCATAGCATTTTGGGGAGCACTGGGGAGGCCCCCATCCCATTCCAACCAGTGAAATTCCCGTTTTCCCATCAAAGTGGTTTCAAAATCCCAACCGGCGCTGAAAAAAAAGGGGTGACAGGGTTTGCGTCAAAACCAGCTGCTCTTTTTTTGGGGGGTGACTGAACCCCCCCCATGCTCACCCCAGTTTCACCTCCCCCTTCCTGTTTTTTTTCCCCAGGGGGGGAGCCGGCCATATGCGGCGTGCAGTGCTCGCCCACGGCACGGGGCACGGCGGCGGCTCCCCCGGTAAAAACAGGAAGGAGGGATGGGGAAAAAAAGCTGGCGGGGACCCCACGCCGGGGCTGATGCCAACCGGCTACGCCTTGACCCCCCCTCCCAGCACTGCCTCACCGGCTGCCGGCTCCTGCTTCGGCAGCCGGCAACGCTGCCTGCCCAGGGCACCTTTCCAGCATGAAATTTCCGCCCCCCCCGCCTTTTTTTTAAGGATTTTTATAACACCTCAGTGCCACCATCTCAAACCACGATGGCGGGACATTTCCAGGGGGTCTTGCCACCTGTGGTGTCCACCCCTCCCTTCCAAAATACAAGTTATTTTATCGGGATTCAGATTTTGGAGATGTTGGAGCACCTGGAAAAGCATCACCCCAATATTACTCCCCCCCCCCTCCATGTTGCGCCCCGGGGTGGGTTGTTTTCTTGGATGAGGGGACCCAGGGAGGAAAAACGCAGAGCCTGGAATGGGCTCAAAAACTGCCGTTAATAATTAGAAATGTTCTGGCATTTCGCGTCCCTCCTCCGCAGCCGCAGCCTGCGGGAGACGCCGGCACTCGGCAGCTCTGCCAGGACTGGGGGGCCACGGCCGGAGGGGATTTTTGGGGATAGGGAGGCTGCGTGCTGTTGGCAAAAATGGGGTGCTGTCCACTCTTGCATTGAAACTGCTCCCAAACCCCCCGGGTTTGTGCTTCTTGGGGGGGGTTTACTGGTACTGGGATGATCCTCCCAGCATTTTGCATCCTAGTTTTGGGGCTGCTTTTCCCAGATCCTTGATGCACAAGTCACCCCAAAAACCCTTTCCTCTCGTCTCCCCCAAAACCAGCCTGTCTTCCCTCACCAGAGCAGGCAGCGATGGATCTGGAGGGTCTAAAAAAACAAGGGAAAGGGATCTTTTTCCCATCTAAAAATCCCAGCGGAGCAGCCGAGGCTTCGCCTGGAAGCTGAAGCGGGGTTTTTTGGGGCGGGACCTTTCCCCCCCCCCCCCCGCCGCGCTGGTGGGAAGAGGTGGTGGTGGAAATGCGGCTCCGGCGGGGAGAGCCAGGTGCCGACAGCTGGTGGGGGAATCGAGGGATGCTTGGGGAGCACCCATCTCCCCATGTGTGGGTTTGGGTGCCTGGGTGCTGCCTGGGAGGGGGTGGCTGACCCCCATCGGCCAGTGAAGGGTGGGTGAAGCAGTGGCGGCAGGGGGGCAGCAGGGGTGGGCTGCACCCTCCTTGTACCTGGGACGGGATGGGGAGCAGGGTGGTCTGGGTGCCCCGGGGAGCTGGGGGTGTTGGGAGGGGGCAGGGGATGCCACCGCCTGCATCCCGGCTGGAGTGGCCTCGGGGACAGAGATGGGAACAGGAACAAGGATGGTGACAGGGACAGGGACGAGGGTGATGGTGGGGATGGTGAGAGGGCTGGGGACAAAGATGATGATGATGATGGGGTTGAGGTTGGGGATGGGAGGGGCATGGGGACAGGGGTGGGGACAGAGCTGATGGGGTGAAAATTGGGGTTGGGGACAGCGATAGGGGTGATGGGGACAGGAATGGGGATGGGGATCATGATGGGGATGGTGGTTGGTATGGGGACAGGAAAGGGGACGATGGTGGGGATGGGGACAGGGATGATGGTGGGGATGGGGATGGAGACGGTGGTGAGGATGGGGATGGGGACGGTGACGGTGGTGGAGGCGATGGGGATGAGGCCAGGAATGGGAAGGGGGATGGTGGCAGCAGTGGGGACGGTGACAGTGCCATGAACAGGGATGCCGATGTCAATGGGACAGTGATCATGATGATGCCACTGATGGCGAAGAGGAAGGTCAATGCCACCAGGCCCCCCTAAACAGGGCAGACCCCTGTGAGCAAGCCAGGCCGGCAAGGGTAGGCAAGGCCCGACTGCGTTGGCAGGCTGCGGGGTGCTGGTGCCCAGCTGGGGGGGCCACGCCGTGTTTTGGGGGCCGGCCGGAGCCGGCATCGGCGCACAGAGCCCACGGGCGACTTATGCAGTTGCTTAGCAACTCCCAAACCCGGATTAGAGGCGAGCGAGGCAGGCGATGCAGGGGGCTGTGGGCTGCAGCCCCCCGCATCGCCCTGGGGGGTCCCTCCTCTTTCCGTGGGTCCCCCCATCTCACCCCGCCAGCCCTGGCACCTCAGCATGGTCCAAAGGTGAAAGCGGGGTCTGCAGAGAGCACCAAGCTCTGGAAAAATGGCTGGGTTTGCAGGTCTGGCTGGAAAACACCCCAAATTTGGGGGGGGTGGGATGCTCCTGCAAGCAGGGAAGAGACCCCCAAACCCCAAAAGCGGAGCCCCCTCCTCCGCATGGAGCCCGTTTGGGGACACCACCCCTGGGCTTCAGCGGATGCTTGGTGGGATGCGGTGTCCTGCCATGCCCACCCTTCCTCACCATCTTCATCCTCGCCATCTTCATCATCATCATCCCCATCCTCACCCTCCTTCGGGACCAAGCCCTAAGTAAGTTGTGAAGTTTTTACCCCCCGTGCAAACAAACCTGGGGGGGCAAAACCCCCCTCCAGCATCACTGCGGGCCAAGCATCCCCCCCCCCAAAAAATAACCCATCGCCCTCATTTGCTGCAGCTTCGGTCCCCCTCTCCCCCCCCCAAAATAGCTGCAAATTTCAGTACGGCCCTATTAAACCCACCATGCTGAGGGCAAAACTGCCGTTAAATATTTGATCGCATCCTCCGCGTGTAATTTTACATTGCACGAAACTCTGATGCGAGCTGCCGGCTCCTTTAAGTGTTAGGAGGGAGCTGGAGGCTGTGAAATAAAATTGGAGGAGGTAAAAAAAAAAAAAAAAAAAAAAAGAGGAGAAAGGGAAAAAAAAAAATAAGAAACACCCCCCCACACTCTCTAAAAGCCTGGCAGGGGTGTAGGGCTGATAGGCTCGCCCGGAGGAAAGCGCATTACGTAGGCAAGCGGCTCCGCTCAACTTGCCACCTGCGCTGAGAGAGCTGCCGGGGAAGCGAGACCCTGCCGGAGCCCCTCGCCCATCGCTGGCCACCCACCCGTCCTCCGCCATGGACTGCTGCAACGTAGGTCCCCCCCTCTTTTCTCCCAGCACCTCGTTTTTCTGCATTTGATTTATTAGTAGTATTGTTATTGGCCCCCCCCCTCCCCGCCACGGAGCGGGGTACGGGGGTGGCGGAGGGGATTTGGGGTGGTGATGGAGGAGGGGGAGTATTTGCAAGGGGGTTGATGCTGCGATGGGTGCTGCACCCAAGACCTCAACCGACTCCGTGTGTGTCCCCCACCTGCCCACCCAGTGCTGTTGCAAACCCCCAGGCCCATATCCCCTCCCTCCTCTAACCCCCCCCCCGCTCCCATTTCACACCAGTTCAGGATCTGTCCCACTGGGGCCAGCAGCCACCCCGCACCATGGCCAGCATGTCCGGAAAGTCCCCCCTGTCCCAAATCCAGTGGCGAGACAGGGGGTTCTGCTTTGGTCCCCCCCCCAATTACTCTCCAGGCAGGATCGGGGTTGCTTATGGATAAAGGGATAAATTGGGGTGAGCAGGGGGCTGCACCCCTCCGTCCGCACCCCAGGGTGAGCACCGCTTGCTGCCCAGCCGGCTCAGGGAGCTGATCCAGCAGAAAACCACATCTTTTTTCCCCCCTTTCTCCCTTCCCCCCCCCTTTCCCCCTTTTTCTCCTCCCCCCTGCTTTTTTCCCCCTTTTTTCCCCTCCTGCTCAGCTGGCAGCACAGAGAGAAGCACCCGTCTGCCCTCCTGGGTGCCTCCAGAGAGGTGGAACCCACCCTGCATATAGGATTTATCCCCCCCTGCATATAGGGTTTATCTGCCCTGCATATAGGGTTTATCTGCCCTGCATATAGGATTTCCCCCCACACATATAGGATTTCTCCCCCTGGATATAGGATTTCTCCCCTGAATATAGGATTTCTCCCCTGCATATAGGATTTCTCTCCTGGATATAGGATTTCTCCACTGGATATAGGTGTCGTCCACCCCCCCCCACCCCCCACCCCCATATAGGATTTCTGCCCTGAATATAGGATTTCTCTCCTGGATATAGGATTTCCTCCCCCTGGCTATAGGATTTCTGCCCTGGCTATGGGATTTCCAGCCCTGGCTATAACATTTCCACCCTGGACATATCATTTCCACCTCAGACCCATCACTTAAGCCGCCGCCGCTCTTTTGCTCCCCTCACCTTTCACGACGGTAAAACAACCCGAGCAACTTTGCAGAGCCGCGGCACGCTCCGAGGGGAAGAGCATTTCCCCG